CCACGTGTGCCCCCCCAGCCCCTGTGTGCCCCCACTACGCAAACCAGGAGGCGAGGACGGGGTGCAGAGGGGTTTTTATTTGGCTGGGGATCCACAGCTACAGCCTGCAACAGAGACAGAGGTGGATTGGGGGCGGCTCAGCGCCACTGCACCCCCCAGTGCCCCCCCACAGCCCCCACTCACGTCACTTCCCGGAACGCCCTCTTCTCCACATACTTGAGGCGGTATTTCCTCTTGAACCTAGAGAAGGAGAAAGAGAGGAAGGGGCTCAGAATCGATCCCAAATCCACCCCAACCCCCAGGACCCCCCCCCCCTCCCGGACCACCCACTCACTTTGCCCGCTCCCGGGGCTCAATCAGGCTCCGTTTCTGAAGGCTCTTGAAGCGGTCGTGCAGAACGCTGCCCTCGGGCTGAAACGGGGGGAGGACCACAGGTTGGTCACTACAAACCCCCCCACCCTGCCCCATAGACCCCTCCCCCACCCGGGGGTCCGGCGCCCTCAGCACCCAAGCCCCCACCCCCATGGTGAGGCCCCGGGAACTCTGGGGAAGTCTTCACATTCCACAGCACGGGGCTGTGAATCCTGACAGTGCAAGGATGGGGCTCATCACGGGGCGCCGGCCCCCAGACCCACAACAGCCCCCCACAAAAGCCCCCAGCCCCGCCTGATGCCAACACCCCAATGCCAACAGCCCAACCCAATGCTGCCACCCAACACCAAGACCCCAAAAGCCAACATCAAGACCTGAAAACCCAACACTCCAACCCCAATGCCAAGACCCCAAATTTCCAATGCCAAGACCCCAATACCCATCAAACCCCCAACCCAATGCCAGGGCCCCAACCTTCATGCCAAGACCCCCAACTCAACGCCAAGACCTGACACTTCATTCCAAACCCCAACTCCAAGACCCCAAAACCCAACGTCTCAACACCAAGACCCAAAACCAAACACCCTCAACCCAATGCTAAGACCCCAAAACTTCAATGCCAAGACCCCAAAAACCCATCAAACCCCAAACCCAATGCCAAGACCCTCAAACTCCATGCCAAGACCCCCAACCCAACCCCAAGAGCTCAAAACCCAACACCCCAACCCCAACACCAAGACCCCACACTTCATGCCTATCCCCAAGTCCAATGCCATGACCCCAAACCCAACGCCATGACACCAAAACCCAACGCCAAGACCCAACATGCCAAATCCCAACTCCGAGACCCCAAAACACAACTTCCCAATGCCAAGACCCCAAAACCTATCAAACCCAACACTAAGACCCCACAGCCCAATGCCAAGCCCCCCAAACTCCATGCCCAGACCCCTAACCAACACTAAGACCTCAAAACCCAACACCCCAATACCAAGATCCCCAACCCAATGCCAAGACCCCAAAACCCATAAAACCCCCCAAAATCCAC